AGAGGGAGAGGAAAACACTCAAGAACTGTGACCAAGAAGTTTCTGCCATTAGGGGTACTACTGATTAACTGTGAGGTAAAACAAGACAAGGAAGACAATATGGGGATATTTTGATTAGGGTTGACACAAAATCTTTGTTCAATTTAGAATTTGAACTTGGGGCTGTTAGTGAGAGCAACATCTACTATCTTATAGAATTATGTATGTTTCTTGTTATTTTCATCACTGGCCATCTTGTTTTCTTTGATGCCTCCCACGGTTTGATGGTAGTTTTGTCTTGAGTTACCCACCAGGTTTTTGGCATTAGATTGCAATGAGAGATAAGAACTGATGTTGCAGCAGGTAGACATATATATTCTTCCAGTTAAATTTAGTGAATTATTAAGTATAAGCACATACCTGGTAGCTGCTACCTTTCCAGAATTTTTTCATTTCCTTACGTCTCCAAGCAACAATTGAGGCAGTAATAAGTGTGCAAGGTACTAAATAGAGAAGAGCAGGTTGCCCCCTTTTCATCAGTGTCAGAACAACAAATGTAAGTATCATACCAACAGCATAGGCTGCAAGAAGAATATCAAGCATTAGTTATTTCTACATGCTACCAAAGGTAGATTTCCTCCATTATAGTTCTTCAAATATTTTTGAGAACACTTTTGTAATGACTTCCTATCATAATTTCACTGTTTTCCTAGATAGTAATGAGCAGAGACAGTCTATAGAACTTTTGAAAAATATAAAATTGGAAAAATATAATAACTTAAGAAAAAGTACCAATTGTTTCTCGTTATTAAGAATGTTGAGTTGTTTACATTTTAAATAATTCAATCTGTACCTATAGGAAGCAAGGGTTGCTTTGAAAAAAATTTTCCAAATACTAAATACATATTTCCTAGGCTTCTTTAATAAGCACACACCAAACATTATGTGAAATTTTCATAACGATTCATGGTTTCCTTATGAACATAAGTTCTCGGACTATTAGAGCTGGAAGGACCTTTGCAGACAGTTTAGTTACTCATTTTAAAAATGAGGAAATGGAGGATAAGGGAAGTGGTGCAGGTTGCTCAGATTTACGGCAGAAGTGATAAAGCCTTGGGGCTGGGCTCCAGGGGTAGAGCGCTTGCCTAGCATATGCAAGGCCCTGGGTTTGATCCTCAGCACCACATAAAAATAAGTAAAATAAAGGTATTGCATCCAATTACAACTAAAAAATAATTTAAAAAAAGAATTGATAAAGTCTCCTATAATCTGTCTCAATGTGTTCTTTTTTTTTTTTTAAAGAGTGAGAGAGAGGGAGAGAGAAAATTTTAATATTTATTTTTAAGTATTTGGCAGACACAACATCTTTGTTTGTATGTGGTGCTGAGGATCGAACCCGGGCCGCGCGCATGCCAGGCGAGCGCGCTACCACTTGAGCCACATCCCCAGCCCCCTCAATGTGTTCTTTAGCCTGTCATGGTCATTAGTGGGTCAAATCTAACCCATTAATGTCTTTAAGATACCATAATTAGGGGCTGGGGATGTGGCTCAAGCAGTAGCGCTCGCCTGGCATGCGTGCGGCCCGGGTTCGATCCTCAGCACCACATACAAAACAAAAGATGTTGTGTCTGCCAAAAACTAAATAATAAATATTGGAATTCTCTCTCACTCTCTCTCTTAAAAAAAAAAGAGTACCATAATTAATGACTGCAGACCAGCTTTCTTATTCCTGTATATTCTTTTCTTTATCTCTAACTTAGGTGTTCTTTCTTGTTGTCAGGATACTAATTCTTACAAACATCCTTGTCTAGTACTAATATATATTTAAAAAAAATAAATGATAAAGTATTTTGGAGGGGAGAGTAGAATCTTTATTATTCATTTATTTATTTTTAATGTGGTGCTGAGGATCGAACCCAGTACCTCACACATGTGAGGCAAGTGCTCTATCACTGAGCTACAGCCCCAGCCCACTATATTAATATACACTTTTAGTTTACTGGATTTAATTCCACTGTAGACTTGAAAACTTTGCTAGAACAGCATCTAACTGGCTCTGGTGCAGATCATTTACTTAAGCATAAAGCGCTTTGGTGTGTGAACTTTAAGATATCCATTTGATATGTTAAGAAATAGTAGGGTATATTTTGGCTTACTTTCTTTTATTAACTCTGTTCTCATTAATAAAAGTAGAGGTTTAAGTGACAATTACCTTTTGCTGTTCCAGGTGAGATACTATTGTGTAATAAATTAAAATACAAACTTTGCATACCTTTTTTAAAAAATCTAGTAATAATCAATTTACTGACTATTTGTGTGCCAGGTATTTTAATAAGCATTAAACATCTAGTTTTCTTTTTAAGCCACCAAAACCTTGTGATATAAATTGTAAAGTATAATTATCCCTTTTGATAGAAAAATATATATTAATAATTTATGGCAAATAATTAGAATTTGGAACTCCTAAGTTTTAGATCTTTGTCTTTTCTTCAGGCATCCCAATTCAATATATATATATATATATATATATAAAGAAGAAACAAAATTTACCAATTATAGAAGAAATATAGTATATAGAAGAAGAACCAGTCTGAACATCAAATCTTCTACAGTATGCAACCAACAGGCCTAAAAAACAAAAATAAAAATTCCACATTATTTCTTTAAAACAACACCAGTAACACAAATTCAATTATTAACTAAGGGGAACAATATATATTGTTCTATATTTCACTTTCCTTTTTGCATTATGAGATCATTAAAGTACCTCAAATTCTGGAAAAGTTTGATATACTGATTTCCAAAATTTAATGCTATATTTTAAAAAGATTCCCTAGGGGCTAGGGTTGTGGCTCAGAAGTAGAGTGCTTACCTACCATGCGTGAGACACTGGGTTCAATCCTCTGAACCATATAAAAATAAAAAATAAAGATATTGTGTCCATCTATAACTAAAAAAAAAGTTAAAAAAAGATTCTCTAAACCATTAAACAGTGTTTAAAAACATGATTTTTATTACTTGTTCTTTCATGTTACGGAAAAAATTTTTTAAATGTTTCACTACAAAGTATATTGAATAGACAAGTGAGATTACATAAAACGAAAAAGCTTCTGCATAGCCACAGAAATGATCAAGAGTGAAAATATAACTTATGGTATAGGAATACTGAAAATCATACATGTGATAAGAGGTTGATCCAAAATACATGTGGTACTCCCAAAACTCAATGATCAGAAAACATAACCCAATTTTAAAATGGACAAAGGAGGGGCTGGGGTTGTGGCTCAGCAGTAGAGTGCTGGCTTTACGTGTGAGGTCCTGGGTTCCATCCTCAGCACCACATAAAAATAAATAAATAAAATAAAGGTACTGTGTCCAACAAACTCTAAAAAATAAGAAATATTTAAAAAAAATAAAATGGACAAAGGAAGCCGATGTGGTGGCATGTGCCTATAGTTCCAGCTACTTGGGAGGGTATAAAGCAGTATGATCACTTGAGCCCAGAAGTTTGAAGCCAACCTAAGAAACATAGAGAGATTGTCTCAAAAAACAAAACAAAACAAAGGACAAAGGATTTAAATAGACATTTCTCAAAATAAGATATACATGGCCAACAGGTAGATGAAAAAATGTCCAAAATCACAGATCATGAGAGAAATGCAAATCAAAACCACAATGAGATATTACTGCAGAACTGTTAAAATGGCTTACATAAAAAACTGAAAAGATAAGTGTTGGAGAAGATGTGGAGAAAAGGGAATTGCACACTAGTGGAGGGAATACAAATGAGTATAGCCATTATAAAAAATGATTATTTGATGTTCCTCAAATAATAGAAAACAGAACTATCATATGATTTAGCAATTCCACTACTGGGTGTATAATAAAGAAAGTGAAATCAGTACGTGAAGAGACATGTGTACTCCCATATTCACTGCATCATTATTTACAATATCCAAGATGTAAAATCAATCTAAATGTGCATTAATGAATGAACAGATAAAAAATGTGCTATATAGAAAAAAATGAGATATTATAAATACTTTAAAGAGAAATAAATTCTGTCATTTGTGACAACATAAATCAAACTGGAAGATGTTATGTTAGGCAAAATAAGCCAGGCACAGGACAGATACTGCATGATCTCACTTGCAAGTTCAATCTAAAATAGTTGAGTTTAGCTGGGTGTGGTGGCACATGCCTATAATCCCAGTGGCTCAGGAAGCTAAGGCAGAAGGATCACAAGTTCAAAGCCAGACTCAGAGATCTAGTGAGACCCTAAACAACTTAGCAAAACCCTGCCTCAAAATAAAAAATAAAAAGGGCTAGGGATGTGGTTCAGTGATTAAGTGCCCCCAGATTCAATCCCTGGTATTCACACCCCCCTCTAAAATTTCCCCAAAACAAAAAATCCCCCCCCCCAACCAAAATCTTGAATTCATACAAGTAGAGAGTAAAATGGGAGTTAACAGGGGCTGGGGTGAGATATTGCTGAAAGGTTAAAAATTTCACTTAAATTGGAGGAATAAAGCTAAGGTTTATTGTACAACATGGTAATGACAGTTACTA